GTCTGCCAGCGCCGCCCTTGGAGTCCACGGGAGGCCCACCCAGGGAATTCTCGGGGCCCCCTTTTGAAACCATCGAGTATTTGGCAGCGCAAGCTCGGGCTTCCCCGCCGCGTCTACCGGCGTTGAGTTCCGCTGCCCCCCAAGACCTCCAACATCGAGAGGCCCGTCACTGAGCGCCCAGCCCTGCGCCGCTTGTGCGCGCGCATCAGGGGGGTCGGATCCATGAGTGGCCTGGCGTGCGCGTTGCCCATGGGGGCGCTGCCGCGAAAAACTCGCTGGCCCCGAGGGCCGACGCGCTCGGGAGGGCGACCCGCGAGCACGCTCGCGAGGAGGGCGCGTTGCCGTATTCGACCAAGTGGGACATGAAGAAGTTCCGACACCGTAGACTCGGGTAAGCTCGCGCACCTGGCCCGCGCCGTCGGCCACCCCCCCCGCGCACCTCTACTTGGACTTTCTGATCCACGCCTCCCCCAGACCACTCGAAGTCAAATGGCTGGTCTCTTGAGCCATGCAGGGAGATCAGTCTATTCCCGCGGGCCGTTCCCAATGGTTGACGTGCGCGAAGAGCCACCTACGCGATATGTTTGAAGCGGCACACCCTCGAGCACCCCGAGAGACGACGTCAGCAGACGTGGATGACTTGACACAGAGCGCCCACGGGTATGTGCAAGATGTTGGGCCCATGCTGTTGCCAGCTACCCGGGAACAGTGTGAGCTGATCCAGAGGCGTGGATGCAATATTTCATCAAAGTCATGCGTTGCCGCCTCGTCGTAAAAGATTGGCCACGCGTTGCAAGCTCTCTGCGACGAGCTGAACGTTCCGCTCCGCCATCTTGACGCCGCAAAGCATCTCGGCGTCGAGGCCACTGCTGGGAGGCGAAGGACGATGTGGGAGATGCAACCAGGGAAGGAGGAAACCTGCCGCCGTTCCGAGAAGGTGACCGTCGCTGTCCGCGCCTACCTTCGCGCGACGATGTTTTTCAAGCCAGGATGCGTCGCTGCTGCCTGTGACAACCATCGTGCGGCCGGAGCCCCACATTCCCAGCTGCGGCAGCTGAGGTCGCGGGCTGCCAAGGCGCCGGGAAGGCGGCACCCCGGGCACTGCACCACTGCCCCCGCGGTCTTACATCACGGCATGTCCGGCGACCCCGCTGACAATATAGGGGATGGGCACCCTCTCGGGTGGAGCAGGACCCTGTGAGCTCTTGGCCCTAAACATCAGAACTGTGAGAACGATGTGCCCTCGTAACTTGGATCAACGTCTAGGCGTCCCCCGAGCTCGCTGGCGGCGTCGTGTTCTGGGACCCACTGATTCGGCCGTTTTGTGCGCGTTGGATTTCGATGGGGGGAGGCCCTTCGGAACCTCACGAATGGTTCTCCCTGGGACCGCTCTGCGCGTCGATCATCTTGGCCAAGGCACAGGCGCTGGGAAAGTCAATATGATGTTAATATTGCTGCTGATCTTATTCATAGTGCTGCCCATCCGTTCCAGGATCCCCATGATGGTGTGCCTGAGTGTGCGTGCTTCTGGACCCGAGGGCTTGTCCTGCTCGGGCTGGCTCTCGGGGTCCTCCCTCCTGCCGGAGGCCGCGTTTGGGCCTGGGGCTCGTTTCAAAGTTCGAGGAGGTACTTGTGGCAGTGTTTGTTCTCGTGGAGCTCACTGTACGGATGGAACATGCGGAGATGGTCCTGGTCCTTGGTCGAACTGCACCGAGGATCTCTGCAAGTATCTGGTGTCCTGCGCGGCACCCTCCCTGGTGAGGACCAGAGCTCGCCCAGGGCAACATCGCATGTCCCTATTCAAATGTTGCGCCTGGTCGAAAGCGGCTCGTTGCTGTGCCGCGACTGTTTGCCAATTGCGCGCGTCATGATGATACCGAACCTCGAGGTCAGCCACTCGAAACAGATCCGTGTTTTCACGCGCTGCAGGTCAGGTCAACTCGATGTGCGATGGTGCAAGAGTCATACAACTCGAAAAGAGGTCTCTACCCACCGCCGGACCCCCAAGGGTTAGTCTCCAACGGTGTACCTGACTATTTAGCGGGGGAAGCTGTGGGCGGGGGGGGCGTCCCCCCAAAAAGACCACTGACATTCATAATGCAGATGGGGATCGCCTCTCCGCGGAAGAGAGGTTGCTTGCGGCTTCTCGGCAGGTTCTCCGAACTCGCCTCAGGGAAAGGCGAGGATACACTGTGCAGAGAGCGCCACCGAGAGAGAGGCCCCAGCTCGAAAAATGAACGTAAGTTCAGGCTTACCGAGCAGTGCCATTATGTTGTCAAATATGGCGGCTCCTTGGAGTGCGCACGTTGGTTTAGCAGCTCCTTGCTGCCAAAGATGAACGCGCGATGTTCTGGCCCGCTCGGTGCCATGGGGCGTTCGCGCTTGGGTCCTCGGAGGTGGTTGGACTGGGCCCCTCCCAGGCGTCTGGCTCGACCCTGGGGAACCCGAGTGGGCATCCGTGCCTTGCCCGTGTACGTCCGACGCGCGTCCTGGCCGAATTCAAAGGTGGTCTGTGCTGTCGGGGCTGCGGGGGTCCTGCGGCCAGCCTCGGGAATCTCCTGACCCGGGTCAATCCAGACCCGGGTTAGCAGGAAACCAAAAAACTGCAATGCAGGACAAAAAAACTGCAGCGCAGGTCTTCGCAAACCCGGGTCAGCCAATAAGCGCGGCCGCCTCGCGGCCACGAGCGGCTCGCTAGCCCGGGTCAGCCAGATGGGGTCGTCACAGGATCCTGCAGGATCCGGTGTCCTGGCTGACCCCCGTTTGCATCGACCCCCGTCTCTTGAGCCCCGACAGCACGGCGCAGAGACTGACCCGGCCTTGCCCTATCCAAAGCTTGCAGTGACCCCCGTCTCTTGAGCCCCGACAGCACGGCGCAGAGACTGACCCGGCCTTTCCCTCTCCCGAGCCCGCCTGCCACGGGCAGGCGCTGCCACGGGCAGGCGCGACCTCGAATAATTGAGCAGGGACCGACCGTCCCGGCATTCCTACAGTCCTACCACGAAATGTTCTGAGAACCCAAACATGTTCTAAGAACAAGAACAATGTTCTTAGAACATGAGCTGTTCAAGCAAGACAACCTGCACCAGAAATGGTCTGAGAACATTTCGTGGAAACCACAAAAGGCTCTCAGAACATTGTTTGGTAGGGCTACAGGCGAGCCCGGACGTTTCGCCACTGCTTGAAAGAAGCTGGCAGAAGGACACGCCTCCCCGAGCACGGCGCGCCTCTCCCCGCCGCGCAGGTGACCGGCCCAGGGCCGAGCTCGCACGCGTCACCCCTGCTTGTCGGCATCTCTGGAACCCGCCTCCTCCTCCGCCTCCTCCTCCTCCTCCTCCTCCTCCTCCTCCTCCTCCCCCGCCTCCTTTTTCTTCTCCTCCTCCTCCTCTTCCTCCTCCTCCGCCTCCTCCTCCTCCTCCTCCTCCCCCTCATCATCATCATCATCATCATCATCATCATCATCATCATCATCATCATCATCATCATCATCATCATCATGATCATCATCATCATCATCATCATCATCATCATCATCATCATCATCATCATCATCATCATCATCATCATCATCATCATCATCATCATCATCATCATCCCCATCCCTCTTTTCATGCCGCCACCACCGCGTGGACCCCCTCCCCCCCCACCGAGTCTCTGCTCCACCCTCCCACAACCGTTCCGAACTTCAGGAAGCAAGTCAGGACAACAAACTGATCCTGGCGAAGAGTCCAACCATATGCAGTTGTGAGTATCGCCGTTGTGGGTCTCGCCTTCTGTGGGTCTCCTCATGGGGCCACGAAGCGTGTCAAAGGTGTGCCGAAATGGTGCGGGACGCATGCGGGCGCAGCCACTGAGGCCTTCGGTGGCGCTCCATCTGGGGCCTCGAAACGTGTGAGGGGCGTGCCGAAGTGGAGGGGGGCCGCCAAGCGAACGTCGCCACTGGGGCATTCGGTGGAGCTCCCTATGCGGCCACGAAGCGCGTGAGTGATATGCCGGAATCGGTTTGGGGGGAGGACGCGTGCGAACGCCGCCACTGGGGCCGTCGGTGGAGCCCCCTCTGGGGCCACGGAACGCGTGAGGAGTGTAAATGGGCGGGGGGATGCGCATGTGGTCACAGCCAGTGGGAATTTCGGTGGAGTCCCCTATGGGGCCACGATGCGCTGTACTGGGTTGTGCGGACGGATGTGATCTCAGCAACTGGGGCCTTCGGTGGACCCCTCTATGGGGCCACGAAACGCTGTACTGGGCGGCGCGCGGCGCATGTGGTAGAAACGTCGTACCGGGTGGCGCGGGACGCATGTGGTCACAACCACTGGGGCCTTCGGTGGAGCTCCCTCTGGGACGACAGAACGGAGTGTTGGGTGGCGCGGGGGGCATGTGGTCACAGCCACTGGGGCCTTTGGTGGAGCTCCCCCTGGGGCGACGAAGCGCTATACTGAGTGGCGCGGGACGCGTGTGGTCATAGCCACTGGGGCCTTCGTGGGTTGTGCGGGACGAATGTGGTCACAGCCACTGGGGCCTTCGGTGGGTCTCCCTCTGGGGCCACAAAGCGCTATACTGAGTGGCGCAGGGGACATGTGGTCACAACCGGGGCTGCGGTGGAGCTCCCTCTGGGGCCACGAAGCGCCGTAGCGAGTCGCGCGGGACGCATTGTGGTCACAGTCACTGGGGCCTTCGGTGGAGCGCCCTATGGGGCTTCGAAGCGCTGTACGGGGTGCGCTGAAATGGGGACATGCAGAGGGCAGAGGCAAGGGTGGGGGAGGAGAGGACCCTGGGCGCTGGCTCTCCAAAGCGAGGACCCAACACCACAGGATGGCTGGGAGCGAGCTCAACACAACCGAGCGTGGCCCACTCCCCGTCCCTCCTCCCCCCCCCCCCCTCTGCGCTCCCCAGCGTACCCCTCCCTCTCGTCCCTTTCCCTTCTCCCCCCCCCCCCTTCCCCCCCCCCGCGTCGTCGTCGTCGTCGGCATCGCCGTCGCCGCGCTGGTTGGCGCCACGGCCTCCTTGAGGCCCGCCTGGTCCTCGCCGACGACGCTGGCGAGCCCCTTCGCGGTGAGCTCCACCTCCTGGGCGGGGGGCGGCGGCGCCGGGGGGCCCTTCACTGCCGCGCGCCGCTCGCCTCAAGTCGGGCCTGTCCCCCTACAGAGGGATTTTCGTCAGAAAAAAACAACTACCCCAAAGATACACCAAAAAGCCAAAAAAGAATACCCCCAAAATAGTCCCCGCTCGATGTTTTGGAACATCTGTTGCCCCTTTTGGGGGTACCTCCTATTTTTCGTCGAAGATCCCCCTGTATGGGGGGCACGCCCGACGTCATGCTCGCCCGCGCGCCGCGGAGCAGGCGCGCCCCGGAGCGCTCGCCTCCCGGTGGGGCACGAGGCGCGGGAGGGGTGCGCCGAGGCCGGCGGGGGGGCTCGCACGCGAGCGCGCGCGGCGAGGCGGCAGGCAGGGGCTCACGATGCGCGCGAGGGGTGCGCCGGCATGGGGGGGGGGGCACGGCGGGGAGGAAGAGTAGAAAGGCACCAACTGTACACCAGCACCGATCCTGGCCAGGATCCCCCTGGGCCCATGATCGGTGTATTACGCCCTCCTGCCTTGCGCAAGAAGGCATATGCACCGATCCTGGGCTCAGGGTGATCCTGGGCCAGGATCGGTGTTGGTGTACACCCTGCGAAATGCTTTAGAAATCATGGGTTAAGAAATTCATAGTCTCAGAATCTGAATAAAAACCCAGAATGTCTATTCAAATCTTGGAATTTACATTGAAACATTCAGAATAATCAAGACTCTGGCCGAAAACTTAAGTTTTCTTAAGCATCGCCTAAGGTGTATAGTTGGTGCCCTCCGAAAGAGGGGGGGAGGCAAGGAGGAGGGGGCAGAGAGGCGCGCGCGGTGCTGCGGATGCCGGGGAGGAGGCGGGAAGGGCCTCCAGAGGGCCGTCGGGGGAAAAAAAATCCGAGAGGGCTCCCCCTCCGCCTTCGTCTCCCCCTCCTGCCGACCAGCCACAATCGGGTCGGGCGAAAGGGGGGGATAGCAAAGGGGGGGTTTGAGAATCAGCTCACGTAGCTGATTTTTCCGGCGCCTCCCGGCGCCGGAGGCGGCTATGTATCGAGGAATGGGCCCCTCGGTGAAGCCGAAACCAGCTGCATGCAGCAAATTTCGTAAACCCCCCTTTCCCAATCCCCCCCTTTCGCCCGGCCCGACACAACCAGGGGAGATGTGCGCCCACACCCTTCAGAGGAAAAGAATCGCACCGACGATCTAGAGGGAGGGATGCCGAAGCCGAAGGCTCCTCCTCGGGGGGTAAGGACCGCTCTCGTGGTGGCGGCTGGTCCGTGCATCTCCTCTCCCCCGGGGGGGGGGGCGAGAGGGTACCGATACCGCTACTCCTCGGACCTCTCTTGGGGTGTGTTCTGACCAGTGCGGTAGGGGGGGGGAAGGGGCAGCGAGCAAAGTCGGCCAGGAAAAACCCGGCCAGGCTGGACTCGGCCAGCTGAGCTCGGCCAGGCTGAACTCGGCCGAGCCTGGCCTGGCTGAGCTCAGCCCTCGCTGCCCCCCCCATGATTGATCGCCCCCCCACTACGCGAGCGAGGCCTTCGGTGGCAACTCGTGGGAGCCTCCCATACCATCTTGTTGGCTTCTGCGGAGCGACGCTATTCGACGCGAAATCGACGCTGGATCGACGCTGGCCGACGCTCAACCGGATCCATCTCACCGACTCCCGGACGCCAGTCGACGCGAGTCGACGCTGAAGGCAGAACTGCGACGGTACACCAGGCTCCCATGATTTGCTGCCGAAGATTGAGGGATGAAAAAAAACGGCCCTACCCTGGGTTACAAGTGCGTGGTCTGTTAACCTCCTGGGCACCCCCAGAGCCTAGAGCCGCCAAGACGCGGCACGTCACGCAGGGTTTACCCTGTCAGCCCACAGGAGTTTCAGCGCACAGCGCCTCGTAAACCAGGGTAGGGGCGTTTATTCGACTACACGTAAGAGTGACCCTGGGTAAGAGGGACCTTTGGTGCGCGGCTTTCTGGGGGGCCGCGGGGGGGGGCAAAACCTGGGCGCGCAAGCCGCTGCTCCTGCTTCGTGTTCAGCCATCGGGGGACACCTCTGTGCCCGCACCAAAGGTCACTCAGGCGAAAGGTCATTCTTACGTCTAGTCGACGTATCCTCTTGAGAAGAGGCCCGACCCGAGCCTTTCCCGTGCCTCCCCGGGGCGCGCGGCCCCCGTCTCGGGGATCTTCTGACCCGGGTCAATCCAGACCCGGGTCAGCAGGAAACCAAAAACTGCAATGCAGGAAAAAAAAGCTGCAACGCAGATCTTCGCAAACCCGGGTCAGCCAATATGTGCGGCCGCCTCGCGGCCACGAGCGGCTCGCTAACCCGGGTCAGACAGAGGGGATCTTCGCAGGATCCTGCAAGATCTGGCGCTCTGGCTGACCCCCGTCTGCACTGACCCCCGTCTCAAGGCTCCCGACCGTCCTCTGCCACGCGGCCTCCGGGCACCACCACCCCGCCCGCGCGGAGCACGGACGGCGGCAGCACCGTCACCAGCAGCTGCCGCGCCTGCCCCCCCTCCCCGCCGCGCCGCTCCCGGGGGCCTCCGGCGCCTGGGCCGACGAGGAGGAGACCCTGTCAGGCTTGGGTCGGCGGTGGACAAACCTCCCTTCAATGAAACCTCCCGTTCGTGAAGACAGCCTGGGACCGAAACTGACGGACCTGGACCCGCAAAGTAACGGCCGCGACGCCCTCTCGCTGACCGAAAACGGCCCATTCACTAATCGGCGTGTCAGGGTAGGAGGTCTATCCACCTCCGACTTAGGTCGGGCATGTCCTCCCACAGGCGGATGCTCGAAGAGAGATGCAAAGTAATCAGACAAATCCTCCAGAAGGAACACTTTTACCAAAAAACAAATTCAAACCCTCCCCAGGCGCTGTTTCGGCTCTGCTTGAGCACTCCTCCTGTGGAGGGACACACGCCCGACTTCATGTCTTGAGCCCGCGGGCGCCGCCTTCGAGGGGGGCGGAGGGGCAGGATTTACCAGCCTGGAACATATCCTTATCCCTATGCTGGGTATCTCCTCGTCACGATGCCAATCTTAGGGATTCCCTTATTTTTTTTTGAGGGCGCATCCCTAAGATTGCCATCGTTTTTTGGCGTGACATTCTTAGGGATAGGGATAGGTTCGAGGATGGTGAAGGATTGGGGAAGCCAAGAGATTTTCGATGCCGCTACTCCCCGGACCTCTCCCGGGGATGCGTTCTGCCCAGGAGTTCGAGACGAATCCAGCAGAGGCGACGAGGGCCTCCCAGGAGGCCCAAAGAGGGGAAAACGAGGGTACCCTTTCCTCCTCTGAAGGATGGCAGAGGGCGGGGTTGAGAATCGGCTCGCGGAGCTGGCTTTCCGGGCGGCCCCCATGGCGCCGGCAGGCGCCCACGTGTGTCGAGGGGAGGGGCTGGGCGGAGGAGCCGAGAAAGCTGGCTGCGCGCAGCAGATGTCGTGCCGTCGGGGCAGAGTCCATGCACCCCAGAGTGGACGTCCCGTCGAGTCCACGAGGCACACGTAGGATGCTCCGTGGATCTACGGGCTATTCTGCATATTCTTTTCACGGTATTCGATGAGAAAGTCAATTCTGGGGTAAATCAATTCTGCAGTCGATCCCCTAAAGGAACGAGGCCCCTTTTTTCACAAGAGTTAAGCTTCGATCTCCCCTGGAAAACCTCGGGGAAAAAAAACAAGGGCAGCCTGCAAAAAAAAAGTCACGGAGCACCGAGCCCCTCCCCGACGAAGAGGGCTCCTTCCTCAGCGCGCCGACTGTACCCCCGACGTTCCCTCTCTTGTCCTGCCGCGCGGCCCGGCCAATGGTCCAGCAGAGTCAGGCAGTGGTCAGCAAGCGGTGGGCACAGGAACAGGGCCAGAGGGCAGAACATCCACACCGATAGTGACCACCCCGACGCGCGAGGCCGTTTAGTACACGCACCAATAAAAAAGGAATCAAACAGGGCAGGGCTGTTCAGCAAACGCCCAGGGCCGAGCAGTAAACGCCGACTGTCGGGTCCGGGTTGGCTTTTCCTCCCTTGAAAACCGGGGATGGACAGACCCCCCTTTAGCACAACGCGGTTTAGTGAAAACGGCCTGAGGCCCAAACCTGGCGGGCGCGAGCCTGGAAAACAACGGCCACGGCGCCCTTTCGAGAACCGAAAACGGTCAATTCACTAATCGACGTGTCACTGTTGGGGGTTCTGTCCACCCCCGATCAGTACACGCACCCAAAAAAGGAATCAAAAAGAGCAGGGCTGTTTAGTAGACGCCCAAAGCCGAGTAGTAAACGCCAACTGTCGGGTCCGGGTTGGTTTTTCCTCCCTTGAAAAGCACCGTCCGGGGGGGGTAAGGAGAAGGAGGAGGAGGAGGAGGAGGAGGAGGAGGAGGAGGAGGAGGAGGAGGAGGGGAGATTGGAGGAGGAGGAGGAGGGGGAGGAGGAGGAGGAATCATTTCTCAGATTCTGCCGCGCGGAGCTCTCGGAGCGGCGCCGTGGGCCCCTGGCGCGCGGAGCGCGCCGCGGGTGACGCCAGAGGCGCGCCGCCAGGGGGGGCCGAGCGCTGGAGCGAGAGAAGTCCGCGCGGAGGCGCCGAGGAACGAAGTGCAGATCGCAGCGGCACGGATCCCATAAGCTGAGTTTCGATGTCCCTTCGAAGACCAGGAGGAATCGGGGATGGACAGACCTCCCTTTGGTAAAACGTGGTTTAGTGAAAACGACCTCGGGCCCAAACCTGGCGAGCGCAAGCCTGGAAAATAACGGCCGCGGCGCCCTCTCGAGAACCGAAAACGGACAATTCACTAATCGACGTTTCACTGTTTGGAGGTCTGTCCACCCCCGAAGGAAAACCCCAGTGGCGAGCTGCAAAACAGCCAGAAAAGGAGCACTCGGCCCCTCCCAAACGAAGAGTGTTCCTTCTTCAGCGCCCCGACTGTCTCCATAGCCACCGTGGCTGCATGTTTGGACGCCCGAAGTGGGAACGGAAAAAATGGGTACAATGCCCAACAACAAGTGTTGCCCCAAACCAACAGCGGCCGCTGTTGGGCAGGCGACCTTCTGTCTCAGATGAACACCAGGCCACGGCGGCGCGGACAGCGAGTCCTGTGCAAAATGAACAGGAACTGCTGTTGGGCATTGTACCCATTCTTTCCGTGCCCATTTCGCTCGTGCAGAACATGGTCGGGCGTTGTCAGAACTGGGTTTAGTGGAACCTGGTTTAATAATTTGTACCGGGGCCGCCCCCCCGTCCCATTTCCACTCACCGGAACTGCCGTCACCCGAAAAACACCAGCTACGGCAAACCTGGTTCAGTGAATCTGGCCAGTTGAAGGGCCCCAGGGCCCTACCACTAACCGGGTCCCCTTACGGCAGGTTCGTGTCGTGCCGACTCCAGCGTTGGTTTTTGACACCGCAGGGATCGTTCAACCTTGAACGATCGGCCGCTGCCGCAACGTCCGATCGTTCAACATCGATCGATTCTGGGTCGCCGGCGGCGTTCAACCTTGAACGTCCGCGCTGGGGTCGCCGCTGGTCGACACGACGCAAACCTACCGTACCCGGGGTCCTGGCCATACCCGAATTTCGTTCGTGCAGAACATGGATGAGAACAAGAAAAGCCCCCCCACCCCCAGTAACGGCTGCTCGGCGAGGGGGGGCGACCCTTTAGCCCGAGAGGGGGGCGCGCGACAACCGCCGTGGACGCGGACCGAACGCTTCAACGCATCCTAAGCGCGCGCCCGCGCCCGCTTGATATTACAGATTTCACCATCGGCGAATATATAGCCCTGATGCCCCTGGCGTGCCACCCCCCATGCTACTGATTTCTACTTGCGCTCGCATCACCACCACTGCGACACATAAATGCATGGAGGCCTGTATATGTCGAATCCAAACATGTGGCCGACGCTGGGGGGAGAGCGCCATCTCGAAAGACTGGCGAATGACGCCCTCTGAGAACGCGACCAGCGCTACAGCGGAATCGCCATTCAATAAACGTCGGGCCCGCCACTCGATTCGAAGCAACGCGCGGAAGGATGAGGGGATGACCTCATGCCGTCTCAGATGGGGGAATGGGAGTTGCCGTCGTAGTACCAGGTAGCAGCCAGGGATATCGAGGCGGAAAGGAGGATGGGGGAGGAGAAAGAGGGCAGGCAGAGAACGGTGGAAGCAAGGATAAGAGGAGGGCGGACGGGCAATGAATGAAGGAGGTGAGGGGAGGCTGGGGCAAAATGGAAATAGCGGAGGCCACGAGACGACAGGGAGGGAACGACGGGCGGCATAAGCACGGGCTGGGGCAAGGAAACCGATGACGGGGAGGCGGCGACGAGGACGATGACGGCGACGAAGAGGGCGCGATTTCGCCAACCAGGAAGCGAGGCCCTCTCCGAGGGATGTTGCGGGCGCGAGCCCACCGCGCCCCGACGGGCGAAACAGAACGTGCTGATCACCGCCTGCTGCTGCCGATGGGCTCCTGGCGGCGGCGAGTGTATGCATCCACCGCCCACCATCCCCCTCCTCATCATCATCCTCATCCTCCTCGTCCTCCTCATCCTCCTCCTCACCCTCATGCTAGCTGCTGCTGCTCCCCTTCCCCCCCCGTCTCCCCCCCCCCCTTCCTCCTCCCCGTCCTCCTCGTCATGCCATCGCCCTCCCCCTCCTCATAATCATCATCATCATCCTCGCGCTGCTGATCATCATCGTTGTCATCGCTGCAATCCTTCGGGTTGCTCTTGCCCGCTTTGAGCTTGCGCAGCGGCGGGCCCGATCCCGAGGCGCTCTCCGCGGCCGTGATCTCCCGATCGATCTCCGTCCTGATGGAGTCGAGCGTCCACCTCTTGTTGCTGCGCAGCAAGTTCGGCACGGCCTGGTCGTGGATCTCCGCCTGGAGCGAGCTAGCGATGAACGGGGCCCACGTGCTGAGCAACGACTCGACCCGCTCCGAAACGCTGCAGATCTTCATGACCCGCTCCTCGACTGAGAGGCTGCTCATCCCCTCGACGATCAAGAGCTCGTAGTTCCCGTCGCCCGCCTTGTAGTTGTTGGGCCCGTCGCCCACGGCAGGGAAGGCCGCCACCGCGTGGTTCATCCACGAGACGGTCGAGTGCCAGCCTGCGTCGTTGACTGGCCCGCGGCGGCTGTCGATGCCGAATGCCATCTCAAAGATCCACTCCTTGAGCTGGGCGTCGCTGGGCGCCTCCACGACGCCAACGGGCAACGAAGAAGATACACCGTTGGCGATGTCCGAGTCGGGCTCGTAAACGACCACGGCACGCCCGTAGTCGGCAGACCCGCACAGACGAACCTTCCGAATCTCGGACGCGTTGCACTCCTAAGTTCGGGAACAACCTTCGACGCCGATACGCCCTGACACCCCGAACTTGTTTGCGCGGGGGGCGGGGGGGCAACGGCCGCGGAGGAGGAGGGGGGGGGTGATAAAGGAAGGGGGAAGGGGATGGAGGGACCAGGAGGGGGATGGGGGCGCGAAGGAGGAGGGTGCACAGTATGAACGGGGCCGAACTTTATTTCCCACC